ATGAACATTGGGCAATGCTCATGGAGAATCTGCTGAGATCCAAAGAATGGTGGGATCTCATTGAATCAGGCATCATCCGGCCAGAAAGAAACATAGTTTTGACGGGACCACAGAGAACAGAGTTAGCTGAGAAGAGCTTGAAGGATTTGAAAGTAAAGAATTATCTCTTTGCTTCCATTGATAAGACGATCATGAAGACAATAGCCAAGAAGGACACCTCGAAAGACATTTGGGATTCCATGAAGACAAAGTTTCAAGGAAATCAGAGAGTGCAAAGTGCGCAGTTGCAGAGGCTGAGAAGAAACTTTGAAATTCTGGAGATGAAGGAAGACAATACGATCACTGAGTATTTCTCAATAGTCATGGTGGTGGCAAACGACATGAGAAACTTGGGAGAAGACATGCCAGATGTCAAGCTGGTTGAGAAAATACTGAGAACCTTGATTGAGAAGTTCACATATGTAGTATGTGCGATTGAGGAATCCAATGACATCAAGAGGCTCACGGTTGATGAGTTACAAATTTCATTGTTGGTGCATGAGCAGAATATGCACAAGTTTGTGAGAGAAGAACATGCTCTGAAGATCGAAGATCAGAGCAGATATGGTGGTGGAAGAGGCCGAGGAGGCTACCAAAGCCAAGGAAGAGGAGGTTACCAAGGTCGTGGAGGAAGAGGAGGAAGAGGCCGAGGTGGAGGAGACTTCGATAAGAGCAAGATGGAGTGCTACAAGTGTCACAGGTTGGGACACTTTAAAAATGAATGTCCGAGTTGGGAAAGGGCAGCAAATTATGCAGAACTAGAGGAGGATGTTCTGCTCATGGCACAAGTTGAGCTAAACAAAGCGGAAGATGAGCATGTATGGTTTCTGGACTCGGGATGCAGCAACCATATGTGTGGTACAAAGGAATGGTTTATTGAGCTTGATGAGAAATTCAGACAAACTGTCAAACTTGGAGATAACCGAAGGATGATGGTGGAGGGAAAAGGCAATCTTCGCTTAGCCATCAATGGAAGAATTCAGGTGATTACATCTGTTTACTTTGTACCTGGCTTGAAGAACAACCTACTGAGTATAGGGCAGTTACAACAAAAGGGGCTGAAAATCATCATAGAAGATGACAAGTGTGAGATTTGGCACAAAGAACAACGAAGATTGATCATGCACTCTGCGATGTCCACAAACAGAATGTTTGTAATCCTTGCGGCAGTGAGAGGAAGCAAAGCTGAGACAGGCGAAAGGTATCTGCAGCTTGCAGAGGAGAGCACAGATGAGATATGGCATAAGCGGTTTGGACACTTGAGCCATGGAGGATTACAGACACTGGCAGAGAAGGATATGGTGGTAGGGCTACCAAAGATCTGTTACAATGGAATTGTTTGTGAGATATGCATGAAGGGAAAGCAGAATCGGACTAACATTCCCAAGCAGAGCGTATGGAGAGCCAGTAGAGGATTGGAGCTTGTCCATAGTGACATTTGTGGACCGATTACGCCTACATCAGAGAGTGGAAAAAGGTACATCATCAACTTTATTGATGACTTCAGTCGCATATGCTGGACGTTCTTCTTGTCTGAGAAATCAGAAGCACTGAGATGCTTCAAGGAGTTTAGAGTGGCTGCAGAAAGGGAGCTTGGCGAGCTTCTAGTGTGCTTAAGAACAGACAGAAGAGGAGAATACAACTCTAATCTCTTCAAGGAGTACTGCAGTGAAAATGGAATCAAGAGACAGCTCACTGCAGCTTACACTCCCCAACAAAATGGTGTAGCTGAGAGGAAGAATAGGAGTGTAATGAACATGACGAGGTGCATGCTTATGGGAATGTCAGTGCCGCAGAGATACTGGCCAGAAGCTGTTCAGTATGCTGTTCACATATTGAACAGAAGCCCAACCATTATCTTGGGAGAAGTAACACCATCCGAGAAATAGAGCAAGCATAAACCATCGGTGGAGCATCTCAAAGTTTTTGGTTGCTTAGCGTTTGCATTGGTTTCGTATGAAATAAGATTGAAACTGGATGAAAAGAGCATCAAATGTGTTATGTTTGGCATCAGCAAAGAGTCAAAAGCTTATCGGCTTTATGATCCTACCACTAGAAGAATTATAATCAGCAAGGATGTAAAGTTTGATGAGAGCAAAGGATGGAACTGGGAGGAAAGAATAGAGGAAAATGGCTTAACGTGGGATGGAATGCTAAACGATGATGAAGAAGAAACACAAGAAAATGGTGAGGAAAATCAGAGAGAACGAGAAGCTGAAACTGTTGAAGTAGCTGATACAATTCAGGAGAAAGAAGCTGCAGAAACAAGTACAAACAGGGAGCCTCAACGTAAAGGGATTGGAAAGTCAAAGCAAGCTCCTCGGGAACCTCAGCGTGAAGGGATTGTAAGGCCAAAGCAAGCTCCTCTTTGGATGAAAGATTACGTATGTGAGGGTATGAAATCAATCATTGAAGAAGATGGTGAAGATGCAATAGCCATGTTTGTTGCAGAAGAAGATCCAGATAGCTTCTCAGATGCGATTCAACATGAAAGGTGGAGAAAAGCAATGGAAGCAGAGATCAAATCAATTGAAGAAAACAACACATGGGAATTGGTGGAGTTACCAGATGGCGCTAAAGTGATTGGAGTAAAATGGATCTTCAAAACAAAGTTTAATGAAAAGGTCGAGGTGGATAAATTCAAAGCAAGGCTAGTAGCAAAGGTGTATCATCAGACGCATGGAGTGGATTTCCATGAAGTGTTCACACCTGTAGCGAGATGGGACACAATCAGATTAATCCTTGCTTTGGCTGCACAAAAAGGCTGGAACATTTATCAATTAGATGTGAAGAGTGGATTCCTACACGGAGAACTCAACGAAGATGTATACGTTGAGCAGCCACAAGGATTCGTAGTGACAGATGCAGCTGGGAAAGTGTACAAGCTAAGAAAAGCACTGTACGGACTCAAACAAGCTCCAAGAGCTTGGTATAGCCGCATTGAGAGCTACTTCTTGAATGAGGGATTCAAAAAGTGTTACTGTGAGCACACTTTATTCGTAAAAGCAGAAGGAGAAAACGTTTTGGTGATAAGTTTGTATGTGGATGATCTAATCTACACAGGAAGCTCAGAACACATGGTTGAAAGGTTCAAGAGCTCCATGATGCGAGAGTTTTCCATGACAGATCTTGGCAAGATGAAGTACTTCCTCGGAGTCGAAGTCATCCAAGATGAGCAAGGTATCTTCGTTTGTCAAAAAAAATATGCAGAGGACATGTTGAAGAAGTTTGGAATGGAGAATTGCAACTGGGTTCGAAATCCGATTGTTCCTGGTCAAAGACTGTCGAAGGAAGGAGCATGGTCAGCCGTAGATCCAGCGGAGTTCAAGCAAATAGTAGGAAGCTTGAGGTATTTAACTGCTACCAGATCTGATTTGATCTTTTCAGTCAATTTGGTTAGTAGATATATGGAACATCCGAATGAACAGCACATGCTTGCTGTAAAGAGGATCATGAGATATGTTCAAGGCACCACAAGCTTGGGAATTCAGTATAAGCGTGAAGGAAGAGAGAAGCTGATTGGGTATGCAGATAGCGATTATGCAAGAGATATGGATGATAGAAAAAGCACATCGGGTTATGTCTTCATACTTGGAGGAGGAGCTGTATCGTGGACATCAAAGAAGCAACCCATAGTCACTTTGTCAACCACTGAAGCAGAGTTTGTGGCTGCTGCAAACGGAGCTTGTCAAGCTGTGTGGCTGAGAAATGTGCTAGAAGAAATTGGGCTCAAACAAGAAGATGGTACTGTGCTACACTGCGACAACAGCTCCACAATCAAACTGTCCAAAAATCCGGTTCTGCATGGAAGGAGCAAACACATCCATGTGAGGTATCATTTCCTTCGTGATCTGGTGAATTATGGAGTTATAAATCTGGAATATTGTTCTACGAAGGAGCAGCTGTCAGACATAATGACAAAGGCTGTGAAGCTTGAGGTGTTTGAAAGACTTAGGGGAAGTTTGGGAGTATGTTCGAAGGAAGGGTAAACTGGAAATGAGGCATTCCAGTTTAGGGGAGGATGAAGAATAAATTATCGTGACAGCATTTCTTAGACTTAAGATTTAGTCAAATTGAATAAGTTTTGTTCTCCACATTTCTAGGAAACAAGTACGAGTCAATTTCAGAGTTAGTTTCAGAGATATTCGGTGTAGTAATTGTTAGAGTCAAGTCTATTTAAAAACTCTGTATTGTTCAGTTTGATGTATGCAATCAAAGAAGTATTTTCAGAAAAACATTTGTGTGATCTTTCTTTATCTGCTCTGTTTACTTTCGATTGCTACACTAATTACATAAGATATTAGAAGAAGAGGCAGCAAAAGAACAACAAGAGAAATACCATGCATAATCATCACTCTTAATCTGTACGTAAAACAAATTTCTTTCCATCTTACAAGATACACATCTTTATCTATTTTTCCAAAGTCCAAATATATTGCTGACTTTTTTTTTTTAAACGTACAAAAAACTTCTAAGATCTCAAACGCGTAACCTTATTATTATTACCAGTACTACTCTTTTAACAAGATGTGCTTATACTGTTCAACGTAATGTGGTGAAACATACAATGGGTTAAAACGACTTCTCGTCTTATTTGCGATGGAGCAATATGGAAGAACAAAAGTTTGTACAAAACACAACACTCATCATAAATATTTCTTACTCCAATTAAAACAATAAAAATTACTTTCTAATTTTCACTCCTCGCTTTCGTCCCTCTCCTACTCTTTGACTCTTTATTTTTCTCGTTTATTTTTGTTTTTACACACTAACCAAAAAGGCAAGTGGTAAAACATATAGAGGAAAAAATAAGGTAGAAAAACCATCAGCAACAACAACAACAACAATTATTGGGTTAATATGCATATGTATTCGAGTACACATACTCGCATACATATACACATAGATAGATATATCATATGCTTCTTTGTAAATTACCCATTTTTGGTAGGGGTCTAAACTTATGAAGTGGCAATGCAGAAAGGCTCAACGGACAAAAGAGACCTCCTTCGTTCCTTGCAGCCATTTATCCAACCATCATGCCCAATGCCGACTGATTTGTGGACTAAGTTTTGGGTTTGGAATTGAGTTTTTGCGTTTAGGCCCAAACCTTCAGTGTTAGTGGGCTTCCAGTAATAGTCACATGTGTTGAAGCAAGCGGCTCCTACGGTGTCATCCACCGTAGACAGTTGTTTCGTTGACCGAACAAGCTGAGCCGCCCGTGGCCTTGGTGGAAGAGAGTGAACTACCGGCGTCGAGATCTCCGATTTGGTCTCAAATTCATCTGTCGCGGGCCATCTCGAGTTTCTCTTTGGTACCCCAATGGGTTTATGTGCCAACCTATGAACAGTTATTGGCCCAATGGGCTTCTGAGCCAGCTTATACAGAAGTCCATTGGGCTTGAAAGCAAACTCGTCTTGCAGTTGGGCCTCCTCTTCCTCCTCTTCCTCCTCCTCATCGAACCACTGAACCTCCGAATCAATCTCATCTTCTTCGACGTCAATTTCGTCAATGGGTTCGTTGCTGATTTCTGCAAAAGTCAGAAGGAGGCGTCCGTTTTGGCGCTTGGCGGCGAAGTTGTTGTGCGACGGCATAGAGACAGCCTCGAGAACCAATCGGCCGTTGTCGCGGCGAGTTTTCATGTGCAGAGACGAACCCGACTGGCTCGAGAGAGAACGAATCGGAGGAGGAAAAGATCCTCGAGGCATCTCGACGCAGGTTGCGTGAATTGGAACCGTGATTGGTTCTTGCCCAACCTCTGCCTCAGCCTCTGTTTCTTCTTCCTCCTTGGTCACTGCCACGTTGAGAACGAGATTCTCCTCCACCTGGTTGCTAATTTCCTTCTCGATCTCAGCATCTCCAGTCTCCGACGATGCATGCGAAGAGAATCCTTCGCAACCCGTCTCGGATCCGAGACTCTCGGTGCAAATCTCGAGGCTTTTCTCGCTCAAGGAGCTCGCTCGTTTCACCAGAGGATGAACGTACGGTGGAGGAACCGTGTCCTTGCTCGATTCCGCCTTCTTCTTGTCCGACAAAATCGAACTCCATACATCGGATTGGCCCGGCTCGATCTCCTCGTCCTTCTTGTTCTTGTCTTTTTGAATCTGAGCCCAAATATCGAACCCGGATCTTAATCCTTCCTCTTCTTCCTCATCGTCGGAGCTCAATGAGTCAGCAGCACCAAAGGCACGGAGCTTCTCCGAGGAAGAGATCCTCTTCATAGGAGAAGACCCATTCTGCGAGAGCCAATTCTTGGAGGACAAATCAGCAGAGAAGGTCCTTCTGAGTGAAGGTGCAGATGAAGTGTTCGACGTAATGTCACACTCCCCTCCACCAAGGATCGTCACTATGCCCTGCTGCTTCTTAAACGAGGAAGTGAAGCCAAGGCTCTTGCTTAAGCCACAAGACATCATCGCAAAAATGAATCACGACTTCTCAACACTATTCCTTCGCTTTCCTGCACATTTAACAATCAGCATGTTAACAAACACTGACTACAATCAACAAGTCAACAAATGAAATCAGCTCTCTCTTTTTTTTTGTATATTGGATGATGATCAGGCTCTGGAGATGTAACATACCTGGAAGAATTGAGAGAAATCAAACTGTGGGTGAAAATTCAAGTGTGTGTGTGTGTTAGGAGGTGATGTTCATAAGAGAAGATGATGATGTTTTGTGGTTTGATGGATGAGAATGAGACATGAAGAGAGGAGAGTGAAGAGGCGCTTATAAATAGAGGTTCTTCCATTATGGAACCATGTACTGTGGGGTCCTCCATGAAATGACTCTTCACTGAGATTTTTAAAATTTATTTGTATTCCTCTAATAATTTGTATTGATTTTTATATGAGCAACAAACACTTCAATACTGTAAGCAATTAAGTAACATGTATATATTTTTTTTCTTTCAGAACTAAAGAAAATGACTTCTTAGGTGTTGTTTATTTTAAATATTACGTGGGATTTAAAGCTGAATGTGTAGAGGTCCAGTGGGGTGTGTGAATCTCGTATGATACGACCTTAAAACTTGAAGTTTGTAGTATGATGAGTTTTGTCAGTGTGGTTATTGTGTTATTTATCAGATTCAATCCAAAGTTTATGTGTGCTTTGTGAATAAATTGTAAGTTTTTTATTTTGGTACGAACTTTTTTTATTTTTTCTTACAACTACATAAGATGTATATTAATAATCGATATTAAGTACTTCTCTCGTTTAATGCTATAATTTTCCTTACTGTGATAACGGTGAGAAACAAAAGAGGTAAAAAGATAGGTATTCAGTTGTGTAGGTTCTAACTAATGCGTGTGTCGTCGTGAAGAAAAAATAGTAACGGATATGAAACGAAAAATATATAACATTTCCATATTTATGACAAAAAGAAGAAAAATGTTGACGTATGGCATCGATACCCTGTTAAACCAATAACGTGGCACATTGTGGAAGTCACAATTTTCATCTTTTTTTTTGTGAGTTAAAACGATGAGAATGTTCCAAAAATATGCAAAGAAAGCTGGATGCCAATATTAGGATGTTCGATATTTTTTTAAAAGTTACCTTTCTACCACTTGAGTTTATTTTAAATTCAGCAAAAAACACCGTTCTGAAGCTTTATGCTAAAGCATGTCATAGTTGTCATGGAAAAAAAATTACGTAAACTATACAAATATTATATTTTCTCATTTTTAAAATATTTGACGTTTTAGATTTTTGTATTCAGAAAGCATCTAATGTTTTAGCTGTTCTAAACAAGTACATCACTAATTTTTTACCAAAAAAAAAGTACATCACTAATTATATACCTACACACAATTCAAGTATTAAGTAGTATTAAAAAAACGATTCTATAACACTAATTAATGCTACTCCCTCCATTTTTATTTATAAAATATTTTAGGACGACGCATACAAAAAAATGGACTACAATACTTATTGTAACCTTATATATTGTTTGTTAAATTTTAATTCATCAGTTAATATGATGGTAAAATAGTCATGTATCATCAAAATTTTCATAGACTTTTGAAAACATCATCTATTTAAACAATTTTTCTTTTTTAAGAAAAAAAACTTATAAAAATAAGGAAGGAGTATTTGAAATTATTTTTTTCTTGAACCAAAACACAATTAACTCACATAATTTTCAGCTTTTAAAAATCTAGTTTAGAAGTAATTAGGTTTTGGAAGTGATTGAAGTTGAAACTTTATAAACACATAAGCGTATAGTTTGAAAAGTTTTGTTGTGCTAATGTTTACATTGGTGCTTTTTAGTACATACAAGCTTTTCCTAAGAGAATATGGGTATAAACAAAAGTAACCGTATTTTGAGCAATTTAATTCCAATATAAAAGGAAAATATATCGTTTGAAAATTAGTTGGGGCAAAACACAACTTGGTGGGTAGGAGTAGGATACGGTCTCAGAGACAGAGACGTGTGCATGGGGACACGAAGACTGAATATTTTTTTGTTCTCAAGTGTACGTGGTTGCATGTCTACGTGCGTATATATATATGTATATATCGGTATATTTGATGTTGATGATAATGTTGATGATGAGATCATTATTGGTCCTATCAACAAAACGATAAAATGTTCTAAGAGTATCCAAATGATATCAATTGCGTACCCTACGTACGTTCATGTAGTGTTTCATTACATTGATTTGAGTATATGTATACTTTTTTTTTCTTCTTTTGAATAGTATGATCGCATCTAGAGTCTACAATATCGGCCCGCAACGACTAGTAATACTATGTGTAATGAATTAATGCTTGATTAAATAATTACCCACACTATTATAGTATAGATTGTTTTTACTCTGTTCCTCTTATATATAATCAAAAGATCTAAAATCATTCAATAATTAATTATCTTCTCTTGGCCTGAATCCAATTTTTATTAAAAATTCCCGCTCAGATATTCGTCATCTCATATTAAAAACAAATTTTCTTGGAGTATATTTCTATTTTGTAAAATGCGACATTGTAAATAGACAAAAATTCTGAATGCTTTTATGTGAGCGGAAATTGTTTCTTTTAAAACTAACTTAATAACTAAAATCTTTCAACTAGTTAATTACTGATATTAGGGCTTTCTCTCCAAAGCATCAGACCCCACAGAAAAACTTTCATCATTTTCCATTATAGTTTTATTTTCCTTTATATTTTATTTATTTCATACTGGTTATATTTTAGAGCAACGTTGTTTTTCTAGTCAGCTAAAACTATATTCATTTTTTAAAAATGTGTAATTGATAATAAAAATAGAAAATGTTTACTTTAAAATGATAATGATAAAAATAAACGTTTTCTTAATTGACGTTTTAAAATAGTTATAACTTACAAGTTAACACAACATTTATTTTAAAACCAAAGAATACTACTATTTCATCTAATTTTCTATTTTGAGGCTTATTTGTAGTTGCAAAGCACGTTAACAATATTATTTAATAAGAAGTTTTCTAACTAAGAAGACAAATGTAAGAAACGAAATGTTTATTTGGTTAAAACTTTTAACATAAATCGACGTTATTTTGTTTTTATATTATAAGACGTTAATGGAGAGGAGAAAAAGTTCCAAAATGGAGTACTATTAAACGGCTATGTTGTATTTTTGATTTTTTTTTAATTACAAAATGGTAGTATTTTTGGTGACAAAATATAAAATGGTAGTATTTTTGGAAACAAAATATAAAATTCAACATTTTGAAAATTACCTAAAAGGGAAAACACAAAGGCAAAGACATTAAAAAAGAACAAACATTTCCAATTAGGTTAAAGGAAGATAGCGAGAGACACTCATTGTGGGCAAAACATCGCTTAAGGTGGAAGCAAAGGAATCACTTTTCTTCTTTTAAAGGACCAAATTCAATTGGACGGACCACTTTATTTTACAAGAAATCAAAGTTTATCCATACATATATATAATTTAATCATGATAACATTTTAATTCCCTAAGGGTATATATTTCATGGTCTCTTTAGCACTTGGGAAAATTTACAGCCCTACCTAAGAAATAATAACTGTTCTCGTTTGGTCAATTTTCAAATCTAGTTTAGTTTCCCTTCCTAAAGTAATTAATTTACTTACACTTTTAGAGATATTTATTATTTACCCGATTTCAGCTCCCGTTTTTTTTTTTGAGCAAATTTTTTTAGCTCCCGTTACAGCCACGTATTGGTGTAAGTGTGTGGTAAACCACCATGCATGAAAATAATTAGAAGAACAACAAACATTTAGGATATAAGATGACATAATGAAAAAAAACCTAAATCGTTAGAGATAATAGCATAAGGGGTTTATTCGATGGATTTGGATTCCTATTTATCTATTTGTACTGCTCCTTTTATTTTATTATATATCTATATATACGTGGAATATACTCTCACTCCATATATATTATTTAGAAGTCCCCTCCATATAGATTTACGTAGCATCATGATGTAACAGCCACATATGGTTTAGAACCGATATTGTTCAAAATTTATGGAATCTATTCTTAAACAATAGAACACAGCAATTACCAAAATGCTGCTAGAGATTTTTAAAAAAATTGATTAGTTTCATAGTGTTTCTAGAATGTTGTTATACTTATACATGCGTATTATATAAAGTAGAACAAAATACATTTCTAAAGATATTATTTAAGATGGTTCAAAAAAAAACAAAAGATATTATTTAAGTGATAATATACGTTATTTGGAAAACAAGCTTTTATAAATACCTAAACTATATCATTGGCCATTCGTAGTAAAACAATTAGCAAAATTATTCTACGTTTTCATTAAATTAAAAACTTCGAACATAATTTTTCTAGTTCAAATATCTTTGAAACCTACAATAAAATTACGATTCTAATTGAAACAAAAATTATATTTAAAATAGATAAGAAAATGAACAAATAAATGTGAGTTTGTTTTTTTTGTGTAACAAGGTTTATTTTATAGTTTAAACGAATTTCCTTAATAGAGAAAAGGGGAAAAAAAAAGAGCTTACCCAACAGAAGAATCACGAAAGTGGAAAGCGACCGAAAGCTCGTATCTTGTTGTGTGCATGTTGGGTCCTTTTGTCTCTCTTTTTCTCTCTCTAGGGATGTGCAGAAGATGCTTCATATACGACGTAGCGTCGTTCATCAGAATAAAAACAATTAACAGTAATTAAACAAAAAGGTCTCGATGTTGATCCCTTTCTGAGTATTTATAATATTAACGTGGTAACAAAAAATAATAATTATAGAATGTAATAGTCATATTTATAAAGTTGCATGATGAAGAGAGCTTTTAGGACGTAGAGAGAGAGATAGATTAGAGAGCGCGTCGCCACACATGAAGAGAAGGGAAAGGCATAAAGCGAGACATGGATGCGTTTTGTCTCTACCTATAAACCAAAGCAACACCACTCAATTTCAATTCTATTA